AAATCTCACTTGTAATTTTTTGGATAATTAATCAAAAGTTTAGTTTTGATAAAATTACTTAAAAAGTAAATAAGTGGATTTAAATTACTTAAAAAGTTGATGACAAAGCAGCTATCAAAATAAAAAGGGTTATTATCAACTTAAAATGGAGGCGTGATGCTATCTTATACATGCTAATAAGAATAATGAACTAGCATTGAAACATGTATATAATTACTAGGAACAATACCTCGCACTTTATGGATCCCGATTAAGGCTGTCCAACGGGACGAGACCAAATAAACGGGACGGTATGACATTTAGCCGGGACGGTGGCGAGACGGGCCTAAACAGGAAGGGATAAACGGGACGAAACGGTAGGCCCATCCCATCCCGCTAACAAACGGGACGGTTAGCGGGCTTTAAGTGAGCAATTTTTTTTTAAAATTAATTATTTAAGCATTAAGTTTGGCAACGACTAGTTGTTTGACAATGACTAAGATTTTAAAGTTTGCAACGACTAATTTTTTGACTTATTTAATAAACTTAAAACTTAATAAATGATAAAAAAACTAAGTAAAGAATTATAAAATATTAAAAAAAAACTTGTAATGAAATATTTTAGTAATTGTAATAGAGTTGTAATTTATTTAATAAAATTTCAAGCCATTCAGTAAATAAGTAAGAGTGTAAAACAATTCATAAACAACATTCAAGGCTTAGAGCCTTTTATTTTATTAATAGAACTTTCAAATTTCACATACAAATATAATTCTTTTGAAGAACACCTAATCTACGCAACCACCTTCTAGGAAATGTTCTGTTTGAACTAGGCCTCTTAGTAGCCAATTACAAATCATCATACTAATATTTGTAAGCTCTTATATAGCTTCGTTGTAACTTATCTATAATTTTTCTCGGACATTGTTTTGGAATTGGCAATGTTGATTAATGTTCCATGAGTTCCATGCCGTCATCGCTCCCAGTGCTAAGTATCTCATTGTATTCTTCTTTTTCTTCTTCTTCTTCCCTAGTGGTTAATTTTTCAAAACCAAGATTTTTTCTTTCTGAATTAATCCAATCTCTGAATAATATGGAAATCTCTAGGCTGCCCTCCGCTAATGAATGTCTTTGATCTGCGATTTGAAATCTTGCCGCGCTAAAAGAACTCTCCGATGCTACTGATGATGCTTGAATAGCCAGGATATCTCGGGCCATTATTGAAAGTGTTGGAAAAGCCTTGCCACGCTCCCTCCACCATGCCAAAAGTTGTTTGTTGCCTTCTTCATCTTTAATACTTTCCAATCCTTGGTTAAGATAAGAATCAAGTTCATCATCAATAGAGGAATCAAAACCTGTTATATCATCCATACCTTCCCATAGAACTTCTACTCTAGCCTTAGAAGTAGAAGGAATAGTTTCACCACCTGTTGTTTCCATAGATTTATATTTATCAAACATTGATCTAGTATAAGAATATATGTTAGCTTGGCAGTCTTCGAAAGATGGTTGTTTAAACCCAAATACTTGAAACTTATTTTGATTGTGAGAAAATAGAGAGAATAATATAGATAGAATGTAAGAGATTTGAGAGAGAATGGTTGATTTTTGTGGGAAAAAAATAAAGAAGGATGGGGGCTAAAGTGTAATTTAACAAACTTAGGGGTTAAATTAAATTAAAAGTTGGGATGGGAGGTGGGGGTGGGGGCCAAATATGGTTGTTTATAGCCGTTGGCCAACGACTCTATTTCAAAAATAAAATAAAATTTTAAATAACACGTGGGACAGACGGGATAGGCGGGACAGGACGAGATAAACGGGACGAAATGGTCATCTCGTCTCATCTCGTGTACCGTTTAATTGGGATAAACGAGACGGTACGGTACGGGATCGGGACGGGCGACAACCTTAATCTCGATATAAAAGCTTACTGTAGTGAGCTTTTCATAACAGCTCTTACACACCTTTTCTTTTGCAAAAATACTATGTAACCTTTAAGAAGCACTAGTGGACATTTATGAAAAAAAGAGGTTATAATTGGCATGAAAAGGTGGAAGTTACTATTGTAAAATAGTGAAGGGAATGGACACCCACAACGTGGGCATCCATTCCACATGAGTATTTACAACAATTGTCGACAAGGATTTTGCATATAACGTTGCTATTGAAGTAATGCAACAAGATGAGCATATTGAACTAAAACTTGTCGATGAATGTAGGCTGAGAAGTGATTGGCCAAAATAGAAGGAAGCAATTCAAACGGAATTGGCTTCTCTTCAAAAACATGAAATTTTCGGACCTATAGTCCGAACACTTGAAGGTGTCAAGCCTGTACGGTACAAATGGACTTTACTAGCTATATTTTCGTATTCAATTGAATTGCGTTGTATAAGAGAGATGTATAGAGAGAATTGGGAGTTTCACGATAAAGGGGGAAAATGTGCAAGTATAATGGTTGGATATTAGCTGTGGATGAGAGAGAAAGGTGAATAAAGTAGAAACGATAAAAAATGGATCCCTGTTTAATTTGGTGGGATCTAAAACTTCAAATTATTCTGTTATTAAACGCAGGGAACTTCTGCTAGAAATGTTATAAAACTTGCTATATTTGAAAAAGCTCCAAAAAAGGTGCTAAATAGGTATAAATGACTCTGTAAACTTGACACATACTGTAAAAAATCCCAACTGTGAAGTCACTCATTTGGGTCAGAAGATGGTCAGGCAAATATAGGCCGAAAGGTGTTAAATCCAATTCTATTATACAAACCCAGCCCACTGAAAATAACGAAGCTACTTGTCTGTCTTTAAAGAATTTGCCTCCTTCAGATCACGCCAATACCCAGAAAGCTTCATGTCTTTATCATGATGAAAAACCTCAGAACGCGGTGATCAAGCCCTACAAAGAGAAGGAGCGGAAAATTCTGAAGATTATTGTAATAAAAGATGGTGAGATGGTACGCTGTGTCACTGATAGTGAAGTTCTAGTTGCCTTGTTGACAGACATTGGGTGTAACACAGAAGAACAGACTATCCAAGATGTCAAGGAGATTCCATCTCATGTGGACTTTAGCTATAATAAAGACATTGAAACAAAGAATCCATATAGGTAATGCCAATTAGGGATTGGAGTCTTGTTATTGTTACACTTATATAAGGTCCAGGTATGACTGAGAGAACTTCTAGTTTTAAGAACCCTGCATTCTTTAAAAGACGAACCACTTACCAGTATTAGAATGAAATAGACCCAGTCACCCAAATAGGGTGAACTGTTTGATAGTGACTTCTTTCGTTTGGTAGGGTGACGAAAGGCTACTTCAATCTAGGAAAAGTCGGAAACTCAAGAGGGTAGCCTTTGGAGAAGCGTTTGCCGGTCACCCAAATAAAGCAGAATCATTGTAGCACTTGCTCCAATTAGTTTGAGTTTGAGGTGTAGTTAATTGATTGAATTAGAAAAAAAGGTGAAAACTTGCAAAGATTTGATCATCACTTATTATTATTTAATATTTATTATTTAATATTTATTAGTTGTGTTATATTATTTGAGAGAATAAGTGTTTAATGTGATAATCAACTATCACCATTAGTTCCCAAATTATTAAAGTTCATTGTTGTATTTCTAATTTGACGAGCACAAAACACAACACGAAATTGATGCTCGCTAGCCAAAGATAGTATAGTAAAATTATCGTCTCCACATAGATTAGATTTAAACAATGTTCTAGTAATTTCTAGTTTAGATGCTATTCATGATGATTAACACTTTGATTGGAATGATTAAGAACTAAAGTTAACTATTAAAATAAAAGCAAATAACCTTGATCACAGAAAGACAAGAGTTGAGCAACACAAAATTAATCAATGGGAGAAATAAGGGTCGTGACAGGATAGGTGCAAGATAGCTATTCGGGATCTAACTCTAGTTCAATTCACTCTAATGTTCTAATGATTCTCGCGAATTCACTCGATGATTAGTTCAATCGTATAGCCAAGACTCCTCTCTCGATTAAATTTGAACTCTACGAGGTGAACTAATATAAAGCACTGTGAAGGTATGCAATAATATGTTATTGGACTAGTCTTTAGGAAACGTCTCTCGAATATTCTCCTAACTTTGATTAATCAACAATTCAACAAGCTCTTTCGATTACTTAAAAGAATCATTGAATTAAACAAAACAAAATAATGTAAAGATAATCACACAAAATATTCCTCTTTCGATTAAATAATTAGGTGAATAAAATTGCATTCAATTCAAAGCCCCATAAACGAATTCTTGCAAATAACTAGAGTTAAAATCTACAAATATCAATCAAAACACCTTATCCGTCAAACCCTAAAGTAAACTGCTCTATAATCATGGAGAAAGTCATCACAAATAGAGTTAAAGAATAAGAAAACATGAATTCAAGCCAAACTCGGGTGTTGAGTTGAGGAAAGAATGATGAATCCTTGTGCCATGCACCGCGCCCAGTGGATTCGGAGGCTCGTTTCTGGCAGGCCAATTCCAATTGCACTGCCGCGCGGCGCCTCCCATGCGGCGCGGTAGTGCAATTTTCTTAGAGTAATTTTTTTCTTCCACCTTTTGATATCCAGATTTGGTTCTCGACCCCCGAACACGATCCCAGTTCAATTCCTTGGGCTTTTACTCGGACTTCAAAGCTCCACATTGTTTGATTTAGCTCCTAATTATCTTTTTAACTCGGAATCATTTTCTGCAAGGCATAAAACACGTAATAAGTGCAAATCACCATCATTTAAGCTCAAATACAAGTAAAGTGCAGTAATACCGCTGAACTACAGATTTCTAGCCTACCATTCATAAATATCGACCGAGTTAACTGGAGTTAAATTGTAACAACATTTTTAAGTTGTACCTATGCCTGATAATTTCACTGGGCTTCCTATTCCAATTTCATTATAAGATTCATTTGTCTTATTACTTAACTCATTCAGTTGGAAGTGCTAAATAGAAGTTGGTGTCTCCTTTACTGATGATTTAGCTTGACATCCTGACGATCTAGGTACCAGGCTAAACTTCAGAAGAACTTGATGTACTTAGCCGCAATTGCTGATGCCCAACCACAATCGCCAGCTATTCCAACACAAGTTAGTAGTGTCAACTATCTTAGTTTGTTTACTACTTCTGTGCAGTTTGTTTATAGTGTTTGTGATGACATGCAGATGGCTCCTCATCCTGCAATGCAACAAGGTGGATTTTTCATGCAGCACCCTCAGGCTGCAGCCATGAATCAACAACAGGGTATGTTTACGGCAAAGATGCCACTGCAGTTTAACAACCCCCAGCAAATGCAGGATCAGCAGCATCAACAACTGCAGCGACAGCAGCAAGGTATTCCTCAACAAACGGGTATGCAACTTGGAGGTCTCAACTCCACTCTTGGTGGTGCAAGTAATGGTAGCCAGCTTTCAACTTCAGGCGCTGGGGATGCACGTGGAGGAAACAAGCAAGACAACCCTGATGCTGAGCCTTCGGGTGCTGACGGTCAAGCTAGCTCGGTGACTGGCCAAGGTTCGGAGGAACCCAAGTAATGGACTTTTTAGTAATGTCTGATATGTACACTAAGGGCAGTTGATAGTAGGTTTAGAACTAGTGCTGTATCTTATGGTTTTCATGATGTGCTATTAGAAAGAGGTTTGATTTTATCTTAATCTTAGAACAGTTAGGTAGGTTGTGTTTTCCTGGAGAGTTTTCCTGTTTCTCTTTCGAGTTAACCTCTGTTTTAGTTAGAGGAAAAAGCTTTGTTTAGTTTCCGGTCCAGTGCCTGTAATTCTGTAATAACTTAGAATAGAAAGCCTCTCTGAATCAATTAGACATGGGTTCTAGTGTTGGCTATGAATATGAGTTTTTGTCTCCTCAAAAAGTTTTTTATTTCAGGTATCTAAAAGTCTCTGCTTTAGTTGTTCTTGTGAATGGTAAGTATGAATTAGCATGGTCATGAAATTAGAGATTGAATCCTAAACTTAATATTACTAGAGCCTGCAATCTTTGACGAAATTTTCAGAAGTTATTTGAGATTGATACTCAGAGAATACTGATCATGCGATCGAAACAATTTTGCTATTGGCAAAAACAAGGGATTGGATTAGAATGTGGAAGTACACATTCAATTCTAAAAATTAATTAATCATAGCATAAGCTAATTTTGCGACTGAGGGTTAGAAAGTTGTTTATTTACATCTAATATATTAAGTCTATCGTTGAAGTGCATATTCAACAATCAATCCTCAACCCTGAACTGAAATATGTATGAGTTTATAATTGTTTTCTTGCTGGTTTATACGCTACATGGGCAAAGCAGCACCTAGATTCTGTTGCTACAGAAGAACAGGAACTATGGGAAAATTGGCTGTCTGGCACTTTGTAAATACACCACACAAAAAGGTATCACGCGCGCGTACACATTACACATGCACATATATACTGTTATGGGCGACTTTCCAGCCATGCCCTATGACTCCTTGGACGCGCCCCATGGCGTCCTGACAAGCCTCCAGCGCGATGGACGGCCCCGTGGTCTTGGCCGCGCCAAGTGACAAGCGCACCCGTGCCTATGTCGCCCCACTGATAGCACTCGCCTGCGCCCAACCGCAAGCAGATGCAAACAGCACCGCGCGCGCAGACTCTGATGCTAAAGATAAGGTTGCGGCCAACGAACCTGCTTCTACCTTGTAGGAATATAAGTCATTTTCATTGTAAATATAGAGTAATTTTATTTCATGTATTTCCATTATGTCTCTCAAGCTTAGTTAGGTAAAGTCTTATAACTTAGGTTTATTTTTTTAAAGCATTATTAGGGGAGATCAAGCAATCAAATTTTCAAGCAAGCAAACAATTCTCTGTATTAGTGTTTCTCCCCCTCGACACCTTGTTGCTTTTTTGTAATGGCTTTCATTAATGCAATCACGCTTTCTTTCATTCTCAATTCTCTTTTCTGTTCTCTCAATTGCTCTTGACATTGGTTTTCCCATGCGGCACTAACAATTTCGTCTAACTTACGGAGGGGACCCCAGTTGGCGGATAGTAACTGCACGGACATCAGTTGCTTAGCCTTAAGTCACACTTCCAAGAAATCTCAGGAAGGTTCCGCGTAACAGTTGGTATCAGAGCATAGGCTCGACATCGGACGAGGGAACACATTGCCATTACCACCATTTCTGACCATGGTGAATCATGGGGACCACATTGCGGCCCTTGAAGAGACGGTTGACGTATTACGGCCCATTGTGAATATGGTGCCTGATCTAAGAACCAGCCTAGTGCAAAGGTTGGACGACCTGGACCACAGGATGTGGCAGGCAGAAGGTGACATCGCGAACATCAGTCGCGACTCTGAAGGAGACCGGCAAACGACAACCACAGAGGCATCAAAAGTTTTTGGTAAATTTGAGAGCCTCCAACATGAGTGGATCAGGGATTTAGCCTATAGGGCACAAGAGGAAGACAGGGTGACTGCCATGCAGCAAACCATAGACAACTTGATAGGCTAACTCAATGTTGTCAATGCTGCACTACAAGGCCTACTTTGAGGAGGCGGAAACCAGATCGGGGGTGCTGTGAACCTCGCCATTGTTCCACAAAAGCTGAAGATTCCTGAGCCAAAACTATACAATGGAGCTCGGAATGCCAAGGAAGTGGAGAACTTCATCTTCGATATCGAACAACACTTCGATGCCGTGGGGGAGTTAGAAGAAGCAAAAAAGGTAGCAACTGCTACCTTGTATCTTCAGGGTGATGCTAAACTTTGGTGGTGGGTGAAATACGAAGCCATTAGGGCTGGTAAAGATACTCTAGAGACATTGGGAAAAATAAAGGTAGCCATATGCCTACAGTTCTTTCCCGAAAATATTGAGTACAATGCACGGAGAAAGCTATGGGATTACGTGCGAGAATTCTCCACGCTCATGCTGAACATACGGGATATGGGGGACAAAGACAAACACTTCACATTCCTGGAAGGTTTGAAACCTTATGCCCGTATGGAGCTGCAAAGACAAAGGGTAGACATTTTACCCAAGGCGATCCAAGCATCGAAATGCCTTGGGGACTATTAAGTGGATGCTCGGAAGGATATGCCTCAACCGCCTGTCCGTGGAGGATATAAAGGAGGCCAACCTAGTAATGGTGGCCCTAGCAGAAGTGGAGGAGATCAGAGTGCAACCAAATCTAAGACTCATTCCTTAGGCAACAATACTGCTGCGTCTCACAACAATGATAGGGGGAGGAAGCCCCCTTTAGGATGCCATCATTGCAGTGGGCCACATTAGAAAAATGAATGCCCACATGCACAGATGAATGCCCATAAAACTTTTGATGATGGGACAGATGACGACACAGATGATGCTGACCAGACAGAACCAATATGTGCCATCAATGCACTTGTTTCTTCTATTTCTGAGGCCTTAGGGGGAACCAGTACTGGTATCCGTAAGGAGAAGGACCCATGCCCAACCACCAAGAAAGGAAAAAAGAAGGCGGATGGGGGCCTCCTCTTCACTAAAAGAAGACCTTGATGTTCGTCGGGATAAAAGTTAATGGCAAGCCCATCCAGGCGATGATAGACACAGACGCTACTCAAAACTACTTAGCCTCAACTCAGGTAGAACGCCTTGGTTAGTTGTGGGAAATGGCAGAGGTCGTGTCAAGATTATCAACTCACCGCCTCAGCCAGATAGTAGAATATCCAAAGGAGTGCTAGTGAAGCTTGGTCCTTATGAAGGAAAATTCAACTTGCGCGTGATGATCATAGATAATTTCAAGCTGATAGTTGGGTTGGAACTATGAGGCAAACCAACACCATTCCAGTACCTTATGCCGACATGCTACTAATGATGGGAGCAAATGGGGCCAAGCCCTGCATTATCCCATGCACAACCGTAAAGATGGCCGCTGAGAACATCTCGGCCCTGCAGTTGAAGAAGGGAGTCAAAAGACATGAACCTACGTTCCTGGATACCCTATATATTGAAGATATAGAACGCTCTTCGGGTCCCATTCCTGCACCCGCGAAAGAGCTGCTAAAGTAGTTTGAAGACGTCATGCCACAAGACATGCCAAGGCGAATCCCGCCTAGGCGTACTGTGGACAATGAGATTGAGTTGGTGCCGGGTGAGAAGCCACCTGCCCGGGCGCCTTACAGAATGTCACAACCCGAACTCACCGAGCTTCGGAGACAGTTGACGGAAATGCTAGATACGGGGATCATTATGACCTCCAAGCCCCCTTATGGGTCCCCTGTGCTATTCCAATAGAAACAGGATAGTACCCTACGACTCTGTGTGGATTATCGGGCCCTAAACAAAATCACCATGAAAAACAAGTACCCTATCCCGCTAATGGAAGATTTGTTCGATAGATTGGGTGGTTCTATAGTGTTCACTAAAATAGACCTGAAAATAGTTTACTGGCAAGTTCAAATTGCTGAGGGAGTTGAACACAAAATGACCTGTGTGACAAGATATGGGTCGTACGACTTCCTGGTCATGCCATTCAACTTGATTAATGCTCCAACAAAATGACCTGTGTGACAAATTATATGTGAAGCTATCCAAGTGCTCATTCGCCCAAAAGCAGATTGACTTCCTTGGACATGTCATCGAGGAAGGGCGGATAAAGATGGACCAACAGAAGATTCAGGCTGTCACAGATTCGCCGCCACCTAAGGATATCCATGCCTTGAGGGCATTCCTTGGCCTATGCAACTTTTATCAGCGATTTGTGAAGAATTACTCTCATTGCAGTGCCGTTGACAAAATTCCTAAAGAAAGCCAAGCCTTGGGATTGGGGTCCCAAGCGAGCGGAGGCCTTCAATACATTGAAAGTGGCTATGTCTAGTAGCCCCGTCTTGGCCCTTCCTGATTTGGACAAGCCATTCGAAGTACAAACGAATTCCTCTGACTATGCTCTGGGCGAAGTCTTGCTACAAGTGGGGCATCCCGTTGCGCTCGAGAGATGAAAGTTGAAGGATGCAGAATGTCACTATGCCGCCCACGAAAAAGAATTATTAGTTGTCGTCTATTGCTTACGCCTTTGGAGGGATTATCTACTGGGAACCCCGTTCGTGGTCAAGATAGACAACACAACTGTTACCAATTTCATGACCCAACTAAAACTGAATGGCCGCCATGACAGGTGGCCGGAACTTCAATCGGAATTTCACTTCAACCTGGAGTACCGAAGTGGGTAAACTAAGCAAGTTGCTGATGTGATCAGTCGGAGGGCTGACTTAGCATTGGTGTGCCTACTCAGCACCCTAAGGGGGAGAAAAGTGGCTACCACTATAAGAGACTAGATACACGATCTACTCCCAAAAGATCTTGCTGCACAGTATTTGGTCGATTTGATAGGACAGGGCAAAACTCGCCAGTTCTACATGAAAGATGGGTTCCTGAAGGTGAAAGGAAACCGACTTTATGTTCCTAAAGGAGGAGATCTGCGAATGACTCTTCTGATGGAATTCCATGATACTTTGTGGGCCGGCCACCTAGGTGAAGAACGCACCATGGCGTTGTTGCGCCGTGCTTATTATTGGCCTCAAATGGCTGATAATATTGCTCAGTATGTAAAGACTTGCCTAGTATGCTAGAAAGACAAGTCAGACCGCTTGACACAAACGGGACTTTTGGAGCCATTGACGGTTCCAAAGAGACCTTGGGAAAGTGTTTCACTGGATTTCATCATCGGATTGCCGAAGGTCGGAGATCTTACAATTATCTTGGTTGTGGTGGATCGGTTTTCCAAGTATGCCATATTTATAGCAGCCCCGCAATATATATCAGCAGAAGATACAACTCAACTCTTCTTCTCTCATCTTGTCAAATATTGGGGTCTTCCTAAAGACATCGTTAGTGATCGCGACTCTCGCTTTACTAAAAACTTTTGGACTCAGCTCTTTAAGTGCCTCGGGTACAAATTGAGCCATCGTTCAAGCTTTCATCTGAAATTTGATGGCCAGACGGAGCGGTTCAATAGCATGCTGGAGGAATATCTACGCCATTTTGTTACCGGATCGCAGAAGAATTGGGTGAAGCTTCTGGATGCTGCTCAACTATGTTTCAATTCACAAAAGAGCTCTAGTACAAAAAAAAATACTTTTAAAATTGTTACCGGTCAGCAACCGCTACTCCCATATACGGTGAATGCCCCAAACATGTTGAAATCTCCTCGATCTGCTAGCTTCTCGAAGGAATGGAAGCAAAATTTGGAGATAGTGCGGAGCTATCTTGTCAAATCCCAAAAGCGGATAAAGAAGCATGCTGATCAAAATCACCGTTTTGTTGAATACCAAGTAGGAGACAAAGTGATGTGACAATGCCAAAATCAATACTTATTTGCAAGGTTCCATGACCCCCGCCTATTGCGAAAATAAATTGGATCATTGTCCATTGAGAAACACATTGGGAAAGTTGTATACCGGGTGGATATCCTAGCCTGGTGGAAATTTTATCCAGTTTTCCATGTCAGCATTCTGAAACCTTTTCGGGAAGGCATGGAGGATCCTTCACGGAGCCAACTCACAATACCCAGTATTCGAAGTCTTAATTCAACCTGGAAAAGACGTGTAGAAGTTATTCTTGATGATTGAGTGGTTCATGCTTCAAGGAAAGATCACCAAGAGTTCTTGGTGAAATGGCAGGCTGTGATGCAGAGGAGAATACTTGGGAGAGGGGAACAAACCTCAAAGCCTGCAAGGGCCTGATCGATGATTATCTTGTAAGCAAGGCGCCGAGGACGTCGCCAACTCAGGTGGGGGAGAATGTCATGGGCGGCTTTCCAGCCATACCCCATGACCCCTTGGACGCACCCCATGGCGTCCTGGTAAGCCTCCCAACACCTAGCGCTATGGACGGCCTCGTGGTCTTCGCCGCGTCAAGTGACAAGAGCGCCTGTACCTATGTCGCCCCACTAATAGCCCTCGCCAGTGCCCAGCCGCAGGCAAATGCCAACAGCGCCTCGCGCGCAGATAGTGCCGCGCACGCGGACTCTGATACTAAAGACAAGGTTGCTGCCAACAGACCTGCTTCTACCTTGTAGGAATTTTAGTCCTTTTCATTGTAAATATAGAGTAGTTTTATTTCATGTATTTTCATTATGTCTCTCTAGCTTAGTTAGGTCAAGTCCTGTAATTTTGGTTTATTTTTTTAAAGCATTATTAGGGGGATAAAGCAGTCAAACTTTCAAGCAAGCAAATAATTCTCTGTACTGGTGTCTCTCTCCTCGACACCGTGTTGCTTTTCTGTAATATCTTTCATTAATGCAATCAAGCTTTTTTTCATTCTCAACTCTCTTTTTTGTTCTCTCAATTGCTCGTTTTTCCGTACGGCAGTGACAATCTCGTCTAGCGTACGAAGGAGACCCAGTTGGCGGATAGTAACTGCACGGACATCGGTTGCTTAGCCTTACTCCGCTCTTTCAAGGAATCTCAGGAAAGCGTCGCATAACAATACACACATGTAATATTAAGTTCATATCTATAATCACAATAAAAGCATTGTGCAGTAGTGCTTTGCATGCCCTTTAAATTTTGAATTCGTCTCTCGAGAAAAAGCATTGTGAATGATGACTATATGACCAGTTGATTATATTGGATGCTGGCAAATGGAGACCATGTTTACTTTGCCTGGTCAGATATAGAGGTGAATCAGGGTTAGAGAGGAAAGATTTGGGAGATTTGTTTGCTTGACTATATAATGCACGACTCGGGGTAATACTTATACAAATATGTTAAAAGACAAATTGAATTGCCATCATGATTTGAACGAATAGACATATTGGAAGTCTATTACTCCCTATTTTCTTATCCTTCTAAAACACTTGGATACAAAATTAGCTGTGGTACTGATTAAAGAAAAACAGAGACTCAGCTTTCCATTACGTTGGTTGGAAGTTGGAACTATGAACTTTTTGGAACTGACTTTGGTTTAGCTTAACATTGGGATCCTACATTATAAAAAAGGACGAGTTACACATTTGATCTGTCGGCTAACAATAATTATATATGTTCAAATATATAAAAATTATGTATATATATAAATATACAAAAAAAAATATTATTATATTTTACCGGCTATTATTTTTAGGAGCTGCTATACTGTGTAATTTTGCCTATAAAAAAAGTCTTAATTACTTTAAAAATTAATGATGTTCTATTTGAAAATAAAGGCAATATGATTCCAATGAGCTGTGATGGGTTTATTAGATGGAGTTTTTAATGTTTTGGTATGGGCAGAAAACATGAAAACAATGGAGTGGTACTATAATTTATATGCTTGATCTAGACTTTTGGTAGAGTTCCATTTCCTCGTATATTAACTTTGATGGTTATGCATTTCACCTACCTTTATTTTACATGTTAAAACTGAGGGCTATTGGAGAAATATTTGAGCTGAAGCTCAGCCATGGAGCTCAGAGAAGATGAGGAAGCTTCGAGAGAATCTCAAACTGGAAAAACATTTCTATTAGTTAGAAATCAGAACTGGTGCGCCTATATAGAAGACATTGTATTTGTACAATTGTCATCTACCAGTAGCTAACATCCAGACTAACTAATTTCAATAATAGCCATAGCCAATCCTAACAAATATGGCTACTAGTTAAATAATTACAATGCAACTCTAATCTTAACACCCCCCCTCCCCCCAAGTTGGAAGGGAGGTACTCACTGCCAACTTGTGAAGTAGTGAAGAATGCTTGATGCCCGTCAAAGATTTAGTAAGTATGTCTGCTAGTTGGTCATCTGTGTGGACATAATGCAGAGAAATCAACCCTTCAATGAGCTTATCCCTAACAAAATGGCAGTCGACTTCTATGTGCTTTGTTCGTTCATGAAATACTGGATTTCTCGCAATGTGCAAAGCTGCTTGATTATCATAGTAGACTGGAATAGGAAGAGTTAGAGCATGGTTAGCTCCTCCAGAAGTTTGGATAGCCAAACAAGTTCTGCAACGACCTTTCTCACAGACCTGTATTCTGCTTCTGCAGAGCTTAAGGATACAATTGACTGTTTCTTCGATTTTCAACTAATTGGACTGTCCCTAAGCAATACAATGTAACCACTAACTGACTTCCTAGTCTCAGGGCAAGCTGCCCAATCTGAATCGCAAAAAGCTCTCAATCTATAGTCTGCACTATTTGATAGGAAGATCCCCAGACCAGGATCACCTTTCAAGTATCTGAGCATATGCATAGCTACTTTGAGATGAGAATCTCGAGGACTCTGCATGTATTGACTGAGATGTTGAATACTATAAGCAATATCAAGTCGTGTGTTAGTGAGAAAGTTTAGTTTCCCCACTAGTTTCCTGTATTGAGTGGGATCTGTGAGTAAGCTGCCCTCAGATGCCTTTAACTTTGTTGAAGGATCAAGTGGAGAGGACATTGAAGTGCAATGTGAGAATTCAAACTCCTTTATCAGGTCGCTTGTAAATTTTCTTTGTGTGATTATTACTCCATCATGCTTGTATAGTATCTCCAATCCTAGGAAGTAGTGTAATCTCCCCAGATCCTTTATCTTAAAAGTCTCCCGTAGGAAGGTCTTCAATGCCTTAATTTCTTCCAAATTTGTCCCTGTTAGGAGAACATCATCTACATAAACTGCTACAAAAATAACTGAGTGTCCTTCCCTTTTGTAAAATAAAGAATAATCTAGCATGGAGTGCACATATCCTTTAGAACATAGGGCTTCAGTTAGCTTGGCATACCACTGCCTACTTGCCTGCTTCAATCCATACAAAAATTTGTTCAGCTTGCACACCAAATTCTGTTTTCCTACTGATAGCCCTGGTGGTACTTGCATGTATACTTCTTCATTTAGGTCTCCATGTAGGAAATCATTATTTACATCAAGCTGAAAGATTTCCCAGTTCTTCTTTACTGCAATGCTGACCAATGCTCTCACAGTAGTCATCTTCACCACTGGTGAGAAGGTCTCAGTATAATCTATCCCTGCCTGCTGAGTGTAGCCCTTAACAACTAGCCTAGCTTTAAATCTTTCAACACTCCCATATGCCTTATGCTTGATTTTGTATACCCACTTACAACCTATTGCTTTCTTTCCTGCAGGTAGTGAGACAAGATCCCAGGTATGATTAGAGAAGAGTGCATCAAATTCCTGGTTCATGGCCTGTTGCCAAGCAGGTATAGCTGCTGCCTTCTCATATTACTCAGGTTCACAATCAGTAGAAAGCTTTTCAATTAAATGCTGACTATTACCACTTAGAGCATTAAGGGATATAGACTGTAAATGGGGAACATGTGTGTGAAAAGAGAAGGAGGGTGAACTGTGATCATTATCTGCAACATGCTCCCCAGCATTAGTGTTAAGAGTGGGTACATTATAAATGTAATCCTTTAAATAACTAGGAGGTTTGAGTGTTCTGTGAGGTCTATTATGAGTTAAGGTTATAGTCTGCTCAGAATGTGCAGAGTTTGGTGAATCATTCAGAAGGGATTGTTGCTAGTTCTGAGAGTGGAAACAAGGTTCAGATGATGTGTTAGAGGTTATGTTTGAGCTGGAAGAGTTTTGGTAGTCTGGTTGAGATGGTGAAACAGGTTCATAAATGTTGGCATTGGTGTCATTGCCAAATGAAAGTTCAGGTGACATTGATTGTTGTAGTGGATTATCACTATTACTGTTACCAGTAGGACTGGCAGTGTCAAAATAACTCATGGTAGGTCCTATATGAAGAAAAGAAAGAGATAGATGCTCACATTTAGATACTAAATCAGTGTGCTTTCCTGGCAATGCAAAAGGGAAAATTGTTTCATGAAAAGTCACATCTCTTGAAACATGTATCTTCCTTATGGTTAGGCTGAGAACCTTGTATCCTTTTGATCCAAAAGGGTATCCTACAAAGACATGAGGTGTTGACCTTTGTTCAAACTTATCTTTGTGAGGTTTCAGGTTTTTTGGAAAGCATAGACATCCAAAAATCCTAAGATGTGAGTAATTTGGTTTCTTTTTATATAGAATATCAAAGGGGCATTTCCCTCTAAGGGATGAAGATGGCAATCTATTGATCAGTTAGGTAGAAGTTAGAATGCACTCTCCCCAATACCTTATGGGCAGTTTGGACTGATATAATAGTGCTCTTGTAGTTTCAAGAAGGTACTTATGTTTTCTTTCGACTATACCATTCTGTTATGGAGTGTATGGACAGGTTTTCTGGTGTATGATCCCCTTGGTTTGGAAGAACATAGTTGTTTCAGTGTTCATAAACTCTAAACCATTATCACTTCTGATGGTCTTTATTAAGGTATTAAAATGGTTTTGGACCATTGCAAAGAAAGCCTTTATAACATGTAGGGCATTGCTTTTGCTAGTTAGAAGATGTGTCCAAGTACATCTACTATAATCATCAACTAGGGTAATGAAGTATTTGTGACTGTCATGAGTTAGTGCATGATAAGGACCCCACATATCCACATGTAAGAGTTCAAATATCTTGGCTGTGGAAGTAGTTCTTTCTGGGAAAGGAGATCTATTTTATCTGGCCATAGGGCAAATGGAACATAGAAAAGGTTGTTTGTCTGCAAAGGTTATTGGTATAGAGTTGATACCCTTCATCTTGATAAAAGGTACATGACCCAGCATGTTATGCCACAAGAGATCCACAAGACTTTCATTAGAGGTACATGCATTGCACACTGAGTCTATATTTTTAGAAGAACTTTTATTGGAATTCAAAGGAACTTGTACACTTTTATTATCACAAGCATGAGAAGAAATGGATGCACTAGGTGCAGAATCACAAGGGTGGTCTTGACAATGTACATTATTAATACTGTGACTACCTGAGATGGATGCACTAGGTGCAGAACTGTGTGTGAGTGGTGTGGTGAAAACTTTAGTGACAGCAGAAGAATTGTTCTTTCCTGAACTTGAATAGTGAAAATACAGACTGCCTTTGGCTTTACCAATCTCCAGAGGCCTCCTCAGTGAAAGGCCCTGTAGAAGAATACATGAAAATTTAGTGAATATGATGATGCAATCAAGTTGGATTGTCAATGAGTGTACAAAGATAAGATTGAATATGAAACTGGGCACATATAAGACTCTTTTTAGAGTGAATTGAGGACTGAGAATGACATCTCCAATTATTGTCACCTTTACTTTATATCCATTTTGTAAAGAGACCAAAAAGAGGTAAACTAGAGTTTTGATATTACTCAATGAGGCTTTGTTATAAGTCTTATGGTTAGTGGCTCCTGAGTCAAGAATCCAGGAATCAGCATTTTCTTTGAAACTTTCATGAGACTGTTTACTGGGCCGAACAGAGGTGGTACAAACAGTCATACCTGCAAAGTTAACAGCTCCACTAGTCATGTTGATGTTTCCTGAGTTGTCTCCATTGTTTCCATTCTTAAAGCTTTCCAATATGCTCAGCAGTTGTTTATATAGTTCCTTACTCAATTGTTGCATGGTTCGACTTTGCTCCTGAAGGTTTCCTCCTTCATCTGTCATATTTGTCCCATTACCTGTTGTATCAAACACATTTGCTGCTAGTTTATTTCCCCTGTTACCATTGTTGTACTTCAAGTTCTGAGGGTACCCGTGAAGTTTATAACATTTATCCTTAGTGTGTCTTGGCCTCTTGCAGAAATCACAGAATGGACTAGGTCTATTTCCCATATGGCCTCTTCCATAACTATTGTTCCCAGAAGAATTCATGTGTTGGTTGTAGTTTGTTCTAAAGTTGTTGTTTCCTGGACCATTAGCATTCAGTGATGTGGATTCAATCACCAGTTGTTGATTGTGTGGTTTATCTTCTCTTTGCTTCTCTTCTTGTATGAGAATAGAAAAGGCTTGTGCAATGCTTGGAAGGGGGTTCATCATCAGTATGCTCCCTCTCACAATAGTATACACCTCATTTAAACCCATCGAAAACTGTATCAGTCTTCTATCTTGCTTAGCCTTGTGCATATTAGCTTTAGCTCCGCAGGTGCATTGGCAGCTGCATTGTGCGTGTGCATTCAGCTCTTCCCATAGCTTCTTCATTTTTGTATAATAGCCTGTTATGTCAAGAGTTCCTTGACTCAGATCATTAATTTCCTTCTGAAGCTGGTATAGTTTTGCACCGTTGGTTTGATCATACCTATCTTCTAACTCCTGCCATAACTCCTTTACATCACTCACATATTGCAAACTATCCGCTAGGTCCTTTGAAAGGAAATTTAAAATCCATGAAGTCACCATATCATCACATCGTTCCCACTGATCAAAAGTTACATGTCCAATTACTGGTTTCTGACACTTCCGTGTTATGAAACCAACCTTATTCTTCACTGAGAGGGCTATAAGTACACCTCTTCTCCAAGATCTATATCCTGTGCCATCAAAAGCTACAGGTACCAACACTGAACCTGCACTCTCCGATGGATGCATGTACATGGGACTCGAGGTATCTAAGGTGTCCTTGTCTGCAACACTTTCCTTGTCTCCAGCCATTGTTCAAATCACAGATCACAATTGATTGAACCGTGAATCGATGATAAAAATAGAAATTCAACAGAGGCAACACAGAAAACCACGCTTTGAGAAAACCAGAGGTTAAAAATGCTATAAGTCATCGCTATCAGTCGAGATCATAGTGAAATTACAGTTTCGAACGGGATTTAAAAAAAAAAGTTGATTAACGATCTCGAAGAAAACCTAGGTCTTCAACTCAAAATTGGAGAGAATACGAAGTAAGGGACCGTGAATTACCTCAATAGATGAAGCCTATGCTCTGATACCATGTTAAAACTGAGGGCTATTGGAGAAATGTTTGAGCTGAAGCTCAACTGCCATGGCTGAAAGCCATGGAGCTCAGAGAAGATGAGGAAGCTTCGAGAGAATCTCAAACTGGAAAAATATTTCTATTAGTTAGAAATCAGAACTAGTGCACCTATATATAAGACACTATATTTGTACAGCTGTCATCTACCACTAGCTAACATCCTGACTAACTAATTACAATAATAGCCATAGTCAATCCTAACAAATATGGCTACTAGTTAAATAAATACAATGCAACTCTAATCTTAACATTACATTTGATTATATTCTTGTATTTTAGTCACGAAACATACTTACAACCCAATAGCATGTATTGCTCGCTTTTGCTCAACAGATCTCATCGATTTGTTCCTTAGGTTATACCATTATCAAGCTCAAAAAATGTGCGTACCTTGTGAGATTTTTTATTTTTCTCTCTCATCCTGATGTAGAATTCGCCTAAGTATCATATGCACCAATTCTTTAAAAATTTGCCAATCCAGAAGTCTACCAGTCTTCTTTGACCTGCTCTCGTTTGCCTAGGAGGGCGTCACAACGTGTTTCTCTAAGATGGATAATTTTGAAACTTAACACAAACTAAATAGGCCGTCTCTTATAAGGCATTAAGGGCCAAAATGTTCCTTCCATATAATATTATAGTCTATTTTGAGTTTCTCGATATTCAAATTATTTAAATCTTGATAACAATGTTTTATTAAAATAATTACTGTACATAAATTATAAAGTTCCACTTATAGGTTCTTTCTTGTAACTTTAAAATCAATCAATGTTACTATCATGATATGTGATGTATTCATCTCTTATTCACTTTAAAGAATTTAACAAGTAACCGGGACTAACTTAGAACGAAAGATGTTTAATCTTTTTTCTTCTAGACTGAGAAGATAAAGTTTAGAGTTTAAACAATAAAGTAAATTTTAAATTCTTAAAAATTACAAAAATTATAAAATACGAATGTTACTTTCACGATGTCATAAAATCTTTCTATAACATTCATCCTTTATAACAACAATATAATGGCCGAGTTTTTTTGGAACTGGTTTTCACGTTATCTTATATCATATGTTCTCTATAACAACATTTCGCTATAACAATCAAAATATCAAATATGTCGGAGCAAACGACATTATAGAGAAGTTTGACTGTGTAATCACTTAAAAATAAAAATATTGTATAAATTGAAATGAAGAAATACTGTTCTATTGTCAATTTGGTCTGAACCACATGATTTTTTTCATTATCTCACAACCCACCAGGTAATGGATGTATGAATCTATAATTCTAAAATGATTTCCTTCTTATTTCGTTAAAATAACACGGGCTAGTCAGTTTTCGGACTGGTCATTGAAAAATAACTGGCGTTTGCCAAGTCATTGAAAAATAGCCATTATTTTGCTGCAACAGAGACCGGTCCAACATAATATACTGGAGTTCGGTGTACCTGTATATGAACTTCCAACATATTATGCTGGACCGGTATACTTTGCTGGCTCCAGTATATTATACTGAAATTCCCGTATATTATGCTGGAGTATTTTCCGAATTTTGAACAGTGTTTTCGTTCAAATTTATTATTACATGAAAAGTGGCTAAATTTCGATGATTTTTAAAACTATAGCTATTTTTGAATGATCACTTGTAAATCTAGCTATTTTTGAATTTTTCCCTCTTGTTTCAAGTTACAACCTAACCAAGTAAAGCCCAAATAGCCACTCTTCCATTGTCTCAATTAAAAAATATTAAATATTTGCACATATTAGAAAATGAACAAATTATAAAAATTATACTCTTTATTCTTAAATAAGCTTGGTTACAAGAACCTCCAATGAGGTTAACGTTTCTCTTTAATACACTCACGTCTTGATTTGAATGTTAATAAATCAGCTTTATCTTTGAGTCATCAAACACTTCTTTTCTTACATAAATTTACCAATTTGCAATTTTATTGATTAAAATAGATCTTCTTAGAACCCACTAAAATTACTTTGAACGTGCTTCTTTTCGAATTATGTTATTATACAAATGGTAAGTTAGTCAATTTACATAATTAATGTAATTATGCTAGTGACACTTTTCAAAATGTATGTATAATTTTGACCTAAGGAAAAATTGGAATTCAGAAGAGAGTTAAAGGAGAAAGAAGATGCGTATGAAATTTAAATCTTGTGAATATTTATCATTATTGGAAAAAAACGTTTCATAATACAAATAATGGAGTTTTTTTTTTTGTAAGTTTTCAAAAACTTCATTGACTTTAACAAGGAGTCAATCATGTGTCTCATTCAAAAGGCAAAGTATTTACTTTGTAAAATCAATTGGTTAATATAATGCATTCTGATATTCACTCCGTTTAGCCGTGCATAAAATTTAAAAAATAAAAATAATTTTTGAAAGTTGTAGTTGAAGATTAAATTTAGATATTTGTATGATTACAAATCATCTCATTTAGAAAAAAATTATAATTTAAAACTTAGCTTAATCTGAATATGGAAAGTTGACACTCTTTTGGATTAAACTAATTAAAGATAAGTACTGTGTGTCATATAAATTGTCTATGCCCTGAATTTAATAGATTTGGACAACGACTTTTATCTAATCAAATTTATCTCACAAGACAATTATAATAAAGCATTACAACAAGGGCCATGGTTCATTGGTCCAAAATTCAATCCATATGAAGCAACACCACTCACTACAACAATATGAATAAGACTACAAGACCTACCAACTGAATTTTATGACATATCCATCCTTATAATGATTGGGCAAATGCTTGGGACACTCCTCAAAATAGACAATTGTACTATCACGACCCAAAACTTTAACCTGTCGTGATGGCGCCTATCGATGGTACTAGGCAAGTCGACCTTTCAAAATACTTCAATATCTCATAAAAAGGATAATTCAAAGCTTTTTCATACTAGAATATTTTAGAAAAATCGGAGTTGAATTCAAAATAAAATGCGGAAAGATAGCCCCAAACATCAGGGTGTCACCAAGTCATGAGCATCTAGATATCCAGTCTAATAAAAACAGTGTCTAAGTATTAATACAGGAAAGAAAGAAAACATAGAAGGAGAGACAAGGTCTGCGGACGCCGGCGGCTACCTCGTAGCCTCCGGTACTTGATCGCGCACGAACTCAACGACCTCCGTGATCAAACACACCTGGATCTGCACATGAAGTGCAGGGTGTAGCATGAGTACAACCAACTCAGCAAGCAACATAAATAAATAAGGAACTGAGAAGCAGTAACGAGCTATACAATTACAGTTCATTTTCAATAATTCCAGCAAAGAATAGACATGCTTTCGCATCTGGCAGTTTAAGTCCAATCAGTTTTATACAGTTAAAGTTCAGGTAATTCAGATATAGAATCTTTCAAGAATTTCACAACAATGACAAATAACAACTAAGCACATCAACAAATGAAAAAGCAAATACAACCTCTCAGGGCAACAGTCGCTCAACTCGTCACAACAACTCAAATCACTCAGCTCTTAGCCCTCAGTACTCACACTCAATAGGTACCTGCGCTCACTCGGGGTGTGCAGATTCTGGAGGGGCTTCTTTCAGCCCAAGCGCTATATCCGCACGGACAACTCACGTGCTGCACGGACAACTCACGTACTATAGTATCAATATGTGGAACAGCACAGACAACTCACGTGCTGCACGGACAACTCACATGCCATAGTATCAATACCTCACAGACAGGCCCTCGGCCTCACTCAGTCATCAACCTCTTTAGTCTCTCGGACTTTCGGAAATCATAAAGATCGGTCCAAACAAAGATAACATAGTGTATTAACAAGAATAAAGAAGAGGCTGAGATATGATACGCAAGTAAAATCATGACTAAGTACAAGACAACAATTAGCAAGTAATTCAACAAGTACGCGACCTCTACGGGTCCCAACAGTACCATTACATAGCCTAAGCATGATTTCTAACATGATTTGCAGTCAAATTTCTATAACACAGGGAGAGCATATAGCTAGCAACAAGTTATTCAACTTTACAGTTTCACGGAATGGACCAAGTCCCAATTCCTACGGTGTACGCCCACATGCCCGTCACCTAGCATATGCGTCATTTCCAAAATACTCACATAATCCAATAATCCGAGGTTTCATACCCTCAGGACCAGATTTAAAACTGCTACTTACCTCAAACCGCGCAAAATCCTACTCCGTAATGCCTTTACACCTCGAATCAATCTCCGAACGCCCTGAATCTAGCCACAAGCAGTACGATATAATTAATATAGGCTAAAAGAATCAGTTCCATAAGAAAAACACGAAATTATAAGCCAAAATCTGAAATAGGCTCAACCCGTCTCCCGGGCTCACGTCTCGAAATCTGACAAAAGTCAAAAAATACAAACACCCATCCATTCACGAGTCCAACCATATAAGAATTACTCGAATCCAACCTCAAATCAACTTCCAAAACTCGAAATTTTAGCCTATGAAGTTTCTACCATTTCCCCCCAAATTTACAACTCAAATCCCTAATTAGATGATGAAAATAGTAATAGATTCATGAAATATAGTCCAATCCGAGTTAGAATCACTTACCCCAACAATCTTCTTGAAGAAACCTTAAAAAATCGCCTCACACCGAGCTCTCAAAGTCCCAAAATCGAAATGGGAATCAAACCCTCGAAA